AAAGCAATGTCAGCATTCCCCTGTTCCATTTATTTTTTGGAAAGGAATCGTTAAAAATGTTCCATTTTCACCTTGTTTGCAAGTTGTGATTAAGGCTTCTCCCCCAATTAAATTGTGACATTCTGGCTTGAAAAACAACTTCAAGATCTGGAAGATAAGCTAACACACGCATGCATGAAAAAAAAAAAAATCCTCCTTCTTTCTTGTGGAAAGAAATTCAGCAGTTCAGTGGAGCCACTTCTTTTATTAGTAGTGAGACAAATATATTTTTAAAAAAATTGCTGATAAAACAACAGATTTGAAAAATGTAAACTTTATGCAACTCTGGACCACAGTGGTTTCCCTTTTGTCTCTTTTTCCAGCATAAAACAGAACCAGAGCTTTGGTGTCACAGGTTCCTGCAAGGAATCTACCTGGATAGGTAAATGCTCTGCATCAGTGTACAGTCTCTGATGCCGTAGCTACCCTGCTACTGACACCCCAGCTACGTCAAGGTGGGCACTACTACAGCCATGATGTCCTGAAGGCACACCTTGGTAAAGGAAGTGACACCTAATAGAGATATGAGATTTTCTCACAAAAGGAAAAAAAAAAACTATCTGTGGTACTCATCCCACAAGCATTGATGCTTTTTGTTATGTAAAAGGTAATAACTACATATGTTTCCCCACCTTTATAAAAGAAGAGTTTTGGCACAGGAAGTTAGGAGACCAGTTCATGGCAACTCATGTTGAATTTAAGAGTCAGAATTCAGGTGAGAGTTGTAGTCCCTGTGTTTCAGCTATGAGACCACCCATCTTCTCTTTTGGCAAGCATGAGTGGAAATGTACTTCTGCCTTCCAGTGTCTGTGACCATGGTAGTTTCCAAGGGAGTATGTTGCAATTGTTTTAGTTTTTCCATTTCTGCTCTTCTTTCACAAGCTGCCTGCAAAAATCTGCAACACCCTTACATTGTCTATGTTCTGAGCTCTCTTGAAAATACAACCCTACTCTGATTCCTGACAAAATAACCTCTTGTAGTGAGTTTGTTATGACTGCTCCTGCCACCAGGCAGGGTTAGAGGAAGTACGTGTAAGCAATGACTCCAAGCATCCACCCATTTTCACTTGTTGTGGCCAGTGACTGTAAGCTGGTAGGGGCAGGGACCATCACTTTCTTCAATTCTAAAAGGCTTTGGTGTATCAGTACATCCAACCACAGCACTGACGGTGTCCCCTTAGAAGGCTCGTTTTCAGAAGAGTTAAAATAACATGCATTCCTAAGTTTTTTATGAGATTCTTAATGCTATGAAAAACAATGGAATTTATTTTGTTTAAGTCTTTCCTATTCAACTGCAAATAACACAAGTGCAAAAACATCAGGAGGACAATACCATCCACGGTAAGGGAAAGGTAGCGTTGGATCTCTACACTTCCTTTGACTATAACATAATGGAGTTCCCTTAATAACCTGATAGATTTTGATAAACCATGGCCATGTTGTGATGACCTGCTTCTTAGGTATTTGTTTCCTTGTTCTTCAGGCAGTTTCATTTCTGTGTGTGCAATCACAGCACCCTCTACTGCCTCCCGCGTACCCTGCAAAACGACAGAGAATGTGAACTCGTAAAAAAAAAGACTTTAGAGTGACTAGGCTCTCCAGTTATCACGTGTTGTTTTGTATATGAAACGACATCCCCACCATGATAACGCAAGACGGTATTTTAATCCTGTCTAGAACACAGATCGGAGCTCATAAATGAAAAGGATGAATTCCTCATGGGCTCACGCACCTATCAACCTGAGAGCAGCTTTCCCCTTTCATATGTACGCAAGGCATTATTTTTCACTTTTGTTAGGCCCATGTAGGAAAAAAAATCTATTTTCCTAGTGAGAAACACAAAAAGTGAGTAGATCACATGCTATTTCCGTGTGCTCCGCGTCGACTACTCCGGGCCTGACAGAAAACTCCCCTTTCCCAGAACCCGCCCGCCCCTCAGGAGCTTGAAGTGTTAGGGCTGCGAAGTGCCCTTTCTCCCCTGGCAGACGCAGGTTTCCTGTACAAGTCCAGGGGTCTGGCTCGTTTAGTCTCAAATCGCATCCTCCACTGCCAGCCGCGCTCAGCAGGGCCCTTTGCACCGGCCGCTTCAGCACTTCCCTGGGGGTGCCGGCCGGTGCCCGGTGCCCGGGGCGGAGACCCCGGCACGTAAGGCTGGAGCCGCGCCCGGCGGTGCCGGAGGGAGGGAGGCGGTGCCCGAGGGAGGGAGGCGGTGCCCGAGGGAGGGAGGCGGTGCCCGAGGGAGGGAGGCGGTGCCGGGGGAGGGAGGCGGTGCCGGGGGAGGGAGGCGGTGCCGGGGGAGGGAGGC